GAAATCAGCTCCAATTTTATAAAAATTATCTCCTTGCTACAGACCACACATGAAAAATTTCATGCCCAAAGGAACTTCCCTGAGAATTTCAGAAAAGGGGCCAAGAGCAGGTATAGAATTTAGTTTCAGCTTTCACTCTGGAGAAACTTCTGACATCTCCATGCCAGTATTTTTATTTTTTACTTGCTTTTATTGCCACAGCTAGGAAAGCCTTTAATTGTATTCTAGCAATTGATTCTGTTTCCCCTCAAAGATACTTGGCCTTTGCAATGTCTTCTCTTTTGTTTCATGCTTTGTAATAGCATGTGTACATCCCTCCTTTTTTCTTCACTTCTCTTCATTCTCTTCAACATTCTTTGCAGTAGCACCAGAAGTTAGAGATGCTACTGTAGTGATGCCTATTTGAAATCATGGTCCTGAAGTAGGGAGCCAAGGACTGTGATTCTACCAATTTAACCTCTACCAGAAGTGGCTCTGCTTAACAAATGAAATGGGAAGCGCTATATTAAATGTGCTTTCTTACCTTAGTCCCTTGACAAAAAAGCCTCTAGAAAAATATTGGTGTACCAACATTCTTACTTTTTTAATCTTTGATTTTACTGTTAGTGAATTCAGTCCATGTGAAAGCTGCTACATTGACAGTCCTGGGAACTAAAGGTCTTGGTTTATTTATCTAACCGATACAGTCTGGGCTGTCTGCAATGAAAGCTTCTTTAAATGTGCCCTGCATGCTCCCCATTGGTGTTGTTTCAACCCTGCCAACACAGTTCAGTTTTCATGTTCATTTAAAACCTGGTCTTGTCACTGAGACAGCCAACAAGGGTGTCAATTTGTGCTAACTGTGATTTAGTTTTGTGATGTGGACTACTGTCCACTAGGAACTAGAACTAGCCCACACTCTGATTTTATGTGGATTGCCAAATTACCAACCTGAGCTAGATTCAGTGACAATTTAGAGGTGCCCATACTCTTAAGTCTTCCAGTCCTCTTTATTTCTACATCAGCATATCAGTAACAGGAGTGCTACTTATTTAAAACCCCAAAAGAGTGAAGTTGATCTTTTATTGAGAGCCGTACATATGCTTCTCCTTTATTTGCATATATATAGTGTAAGTTTACACATCATTTTATAAACACAGGCAAATTCTGCTCTCCATTGCACCAGTATATCCAAAGTAACTCTTCTAAAGCCTTTGGAGGTATTCTAGAGCAGGGGTGAGGGACTTCTTCGGGTGAGGAGCCTCTGACCCACAGAAAATCAGATGGGCAGGGGATAATGGGGGCTGGAATGCCAGATTGGGCTCCCCAGTGCTGTGGGGGGAGGAGCCCTGAGCCCCAGGGGCTGGATCCAGACAAGCCAGGGATCATATCTTGTCCCTGGGCCTTAGGTTCTCCACCCCTGTTCTAGAGAGATCAGTGTATGAGTAGGCAGAATATGCTATAATGGACTTTTCTATACTGGGAATTTTCAGCAGTGCTAGCAATGATGGATGTGTTAGTGAACGTATTTTAATTTCAGATTCCATAATGCACCTTTTTCAGTGGACAATCAATTAAAAACATGTTAGTGTTGTATATTACTGATATTAATTTTTTGTTGACTGTGGCAAATTCTTGGGGCTTAAAACACTATTAACCAATTATTGTTGATAAAATGTGAAAAGGTGTTATTTCTGTTATGGATATAAAGTAGGGAGAGAACGGGTGCTTCTACACAGCACTTATTTCGAAATAGAGCACTCTTCCTCTGACTTCCCTTATTCCTCATACAATGAGGGTTACGGGAGTTGGAGTAAGAAGTCCTCCAGCGTGACAGTATTTCGATTATTTCGAAATAACTGCCTGCTGTGTAGATGCGGACACAGGGTACGTCTACACTACAGCGCCAGTTCGAACTAACTTAGTTCGAATTAGTTAATTCGAACTAAGCTAATTCGAACTAACGCGTCTAGAACTAAAAACTAGTTCGAATTAGCGTTGTGCTAATTCGAACTAGCAAGTCCACATTGAGTGGACTCTGAACAGGGCTTAAGGATGGCCGGAAGCAGTGCTGGCAGGGCATAAGAGGAGGACTTAGAGCATGGAGATGCTGTCTCAGGCTAGCCGAGGGCTGCGCTTAAAGGGTCCCGACCCCCACCCCGGACACACAGTTCTAAGGGGTGCCCCGCTTGCAAAGAAGTTCTGGCTTGGAGTGCCCGGAGTACCCACACTGGGCACATCACACCACTCGGCCATCAGCCCGGCTGCACTTGCCGCAGGCTGCCATCTGGGGAGAGGGAGTAATTGGGGGGCTGCAGGAGAGCTTCCACCCCCAGAAGCCCGCAGAGCCAGCCCAGTCCTCCCCATCGGGGGCTCGTACCCCATTCCTCCCTCACCTCCTTCCACTTACCCTTCCCTAGCCCCCCTTCTTATTGATGTACAAAATAAAGATAACGTTTCTTCCAACATTGACTCTGTCTTTATTGAAAAAAACTGGGGGAGACTGGGAAAAGGAGGTGGGAGAGGGGAAGAGAAAGGCTGGGAGAGGGGAGGGCAACTAACATGATCAGGGGTTGGGAACAGGTCCCAGATGAAGAAAGGCTACAGAGACTGGGACTGTTCAGCTTAGAAAAGAGGAGACGGAGGGGGGACAGGATAGAGGTCTCTAAAAGCAGGGGTTGGGTGGAGAGGGTGCATTCAGAAAAGTTCTTCCTGAGTTCCCATAAAGAAGGACTAGAGGACACCAAAGGAAAGGAATGGGTAGCAGGCTTGAAACTAGTAAGAGAAAGTTGTTGTTCTTGACAAAGCAAATAGTTAACCTGTGGAACTCCTTGCTGCAGGAGGCTGTGAAGGCTACAACTAGAACAGAGTTTAAAGGGAAGTGAGATAAAGTGATGGAGGTTGGGTCCATGGAGTCCTATTAGCCAGAGGGTAGGAGTGGTGTCCCTGCCCAAAGTTTGTGGAAGGCTGGAGAGGGATGGCACGAGACAAATGGCTTGGTCACTGTCTTCGGTCCATCCCCTCCAGGGTCCATAGGGTTGGCCGCTGTCGGCAGACAGGCTATGGGCTAGATGGACCTTTGGTCTGACCCAGGACGGCCATTGTAAGCTCAGGGCTCAGTGTCGGGGGTCTCAGTGGACCCCCTTGATTTTCATGCACACCTGGTCCTGGGTGGCCAGGCTGGCAGCTCTCCTGCCCTAGACGGCCACTTTCCTGTGCCTAGTGCGGAGATCGTGGACAAGGTCCACGATGTCCGCACTAGCCCAGGAAGGTGCCCGCCTCTTGCGGTCCAGGGCAAGCTCCCGGGAGCCGCCAGCCTGGTCCCGGCAAGAGGGGGTGGGCTGGGAGGCATCGGGTGGGTGGCTCTGTGCCGTGCCAGGTGCAGGGTCTGCTAGCTGGGTGCTGGCAGGCTTGCACCTGGCACGGGCACCGTAGCCAGCCCGTGCCCCTTTAAGGGGTCCGGGGCCGGGAGGGGGGCATAGAGTTTCCCTGGTGTTGGCCAGAGTGGCCACCAGGGAAACCTGGGGAGGGCTAGCCTCCCACTAGTTCGAACTAAAGGGCTATACAGCCCTTAGTTCGAACTAGCTAGTTCGAACTAGGCGTTAGTCCTCGTAAAATGAGGTTTACCTAGTTCAAACTAAGCGCTCCGTTAGTTCGAATTAAGTTCGAACTAACGGAGCGCTAGTGTAGCGCCTAGGAAAGTTAGTTCAAACTAACGTCCATTAGTAGTGTAGACATACCCTAAGTTATTTTGAAATAATGTTGCTGTGTAGACATACCCTATTTGGCCCACGGACTGTCAACAAAAGGCCACCAATAAAATGGGAATTATTACAAATAATCCTACAGATATGAGGAACTTTAAAAGCAACAATAATGTTTGATTCCTAAGGAAGCTTAGGAGATGAAGCAATCAAATGAATGTAAGAAAACATTGTCACAGCAGCTTCTGCAAAGTATTAATGTCACTGCTCACCCAAGCAAGGTTTGGCCTCATTTTTAAACCTTAAAATTTGGCAAATGGATGAGCAAGTTAATATGTTTAGGCTTGAAATTAATATGATCACACAAATTATTACAGAACCAAAATCTACTTGCTCCACAATAGTAGTTGTTTCATTCAGTGCAAAATGATATTGTTTAGATAGCAAAATTCCAGATAAGAGAAATAATTATGAATAAAAATTAAATATTTCTGCATAGAACATATTGTGGTAAAAGTTAATTTTCTTCATATAAAAATGATTTCCATCAAAACAATCTCTTTTATATAGCTAATATATATATAAATGAATATTTTAAAATTTTGGCACATTCTAAGTCTATCGCTCATTTTGCAAGTCAGACCCACTCCCATTGAAATCAGTGGAAGCTGAAAAGTTTGGGCATGCTGTTTGATCTATTGAATTCCACCCTGTATAAAAATAGTATCAGTCAGGCACCATCTTGCAGTCCTCAAGATGGTAGAACTCTCCGTGTTTCCCAGGTTGCATATTAAAGATGAAAGTGTAAAAATCAGAGTTACTGAGAAAGTGTGATCTTGGCTTTAGGTTTGTATTTTCTTTTATATTCATCAAGGGCAACCCCAAAAGTTCTAATCTGGGTTCTATTCTCTGATATTTGTCTTGGAGAAGCAAATGACCTTATAATTAATATTGGGACTTCTGTCTCTCATTTCAACATATTAATTGTATGGGTTAGTGGAAAGTGACATTCCTGGGCATTATATTGGAACTGCTTTTTGGCAGAAACAGATTTTGTTTGATTTTTCAGTCCTTATGATTCTGATATAGTAGGATTGATTCTGAAATAGAGGAGTCTTTCACCAAACTGATTCACCTTTTTGAATACTAGTATAACTAAAATTATACTTTCTCCAAAACTTAAATGTACAATTTTCAGAGCAAACAAATGTTCCAAGCCAGCAAGTTATTATCAGTGGAGAAGAATTTGAGAGTTCTTTCAAATTGCTAATTGCTGAGGCCAAGTGATATTTTCTAAGGCTGTCAAATGCAATATCCCTAGAGATCAAATTACTCACCAACAATGACAGCAATGACGGTGAAGAGCACAAAAGCATTCCTCAATAGGTAACTTTTAACATCATCCTTAGTTATGCTCTGCACTTTCTTTTTTGCCTTGAGTGTACGTTTCCGGACTCCCTGCTGAAAGCGTTCCATCCTATTTCCAGATCTTGGATCTTCTCCGTTACTTTTAGTCATCTATATTTTGAAAAGTGATTTCTTCTATTACAATTTACGGCTCTTAAAATCTCCCCAGAAAGACAGCCTACCCTCTTCCTTGGGAAGTGCAGGAGGAAGCTAGAAGACAAAATATAACAAATAATTACTACGAGTTAAACTTTCAGAGACATGATCAGTCAAATCTGCACATGTAGACAAATATTAGTCATATAAAAATCAGGCTTAGGTTATGTAGATTATCCAATTAGTTGATTGCAATATATGGTAAATAGCTGCAATGTTTGGTAGAAACTTGATTTGAAAGTACAGATTTTGTTCAAACTTGTCTTTCTGTATTTGCAGGGAATGGTCTTGATTCTTCTTTCACACTGTTACAAATGAGGTGTAACTTCACAGCTGTCAATGAAGTTACAATCATGTAAAACAGATGTCATGGGAGAATCGGATACTCTATATCTTTAACTATTGATCAAGCTTCATTTTTACCTATCTAGCAGGCATTTATTTATTCAAATGGAATCTGTTTATCCCACCTTTCAAATTAAATGTCTGATAAATAATATCTTTTAAAGTCATACCATTCAGAATTTTATGTATTTCAGATGTTTTCAAATTTTAATGCTTTGTTCTACACTAATTTCTCTCCTGTTCCATGGAAAAAGTCAAAAGTTTATCTCTTTACTTACTACTCAAAAGGAGTTTCATCTTTGAAACTCACTTCAAAGATGAATGTTACTATGCTACTCTGAACACATCTCTAAAACATCAAAAGATGCAATTCATTTTAAGCTTGTCATTTTAAGTTTGTTGCAAAACATTATCTTGTAGTGTGAATTTGTATTGACTGGCAAAGAATTGATATGTTCTGATAAAAATCACATTACAGATTTGGCTTTAAGATTAAAAAAAGCTTTCATTTCTTGGGGGGAGGAGTCACAAATTCATGAATGGGTATAGCTGGCTGCAGCACTGAAATCTATTCTCAATTATATAGATCGTTTACATCTGCCTTGCTACATCTATTATCTAATTAGTTTTGCAGAAAGCATTTAGAAAGTTCAAGTTTTAGAAGTCAGATGATTGAAGGGGCTATCATGTTATTTAAAGGTAAGAGAATATTTTTAATGAGATTTGGTCTTCTTTTGGAGTTAAATATATGGTTTAAAAACTAGTATGTTAATATACCATTCGCCTTGGATTTTAACATGCTGTAATATTGTTTTTAACAAGATTGCATGTACACACACATTTTCTATTCTCCCTCCCCTATCTCACCTCTTTCCTTTATTTTTTAAAAAAATTGTATTTTCAATTGGAAAAGCTATAATAGTTAATAAGTCTTTTCTTAATTGGCTGTAGAGTGGGGAAAAAGTTCTTAGGCTGAACTAAATATTTAAACTATTATGTACAGTATTTTTGATTTTGGAAGTATGACTGCTGTGTATATGAATGAATTTTTCTTTGGAAATTTAGTCTGAAACATTTTATAACAAGCTTATAGATTCACTCCACCTCTTTGTCCATCCAGGACCACCAAAATATTATCCTAGCCTACCCTTTATTAAGTAAGTTTAAGTTAAAAAAACAATTCAGTGTACCCCCAAAGAATCATTATATCAAATTACCTAGAAAAGTATTTTAGAGGAAAAGAATGAAAAGTGAGAAATGCCAGCAAAATAAACAAGCTTACCTTCTCAAATTCTGCAATGATCCAAGCACAAAAGGCAACCAATAAGGTAAATTTCCCAGTAGGTACAATAGAGGTGAAAAATTCAGTGAGCGAGAGAAGGAGAAGACTGACAATATTCATGTGCTCTAGATACAGCAACTTACTATCACTGTAACTTAAGAAAAGGGGAGGAGACTATTAATCCAACTCAGGGGAAAAAATAAAAAACACAACTGAAGGGGGGAGAGCTGAGCTTCTGGAATATTGATTAGTCTTGGCCAGTAAAAACAGGGTTGCTTTCTTTGTTTTTCCCCTTTAGACCACTTTCACGCTTTGTCAGTTCAGCTTCATTAGAAATGCAAAATCAGGATTCAGGAAGCATTGAAGAATGACACACAACAGAGAAGGCTGGAAGTTTTTGTGATTAGATATTCCAAAAACCAGGAGTCTGTAAAAATGAAACATAATTAAATAACATTATTCCATTACCTTTAAAAGAAAAGATGAGCTATCTGAGGATGTTAGTCTACTATAAGAAGTGTTTTAGTTTGCAGTTGCAAGGTATTTTCTAATCCTTAATGCCAGTTATTTAAGGAAGCATCTAGGATAGAGAAACAGCTTTACATCTCTCAGGAGTAACTGGAACACTATCCAGAATAGATCAAAATATGATGAGATACAGTTCTTGATAGTTTTCTTGTAGTTACTCAAAAAGCAAGATGAGGCTTGTCTGTAGTTCAGTAATTTAAACTCTTTCAGAGTAAGCCCAGTTCAGCAAAGATTGTCTCAACAGCACAGTGTGTGAATAACAAAGGAAAAGCTCCAAACATTCAGCTTTTTCCTAAAAAGAAGTTGTCTTTTTTTTTATTTAACGGTTTGCACCATTGGTAGAATTTGGAGGCGGGGGAAGGAAGGAAAAGCATCTTGTACCTCTTCAGAATATGAATTTTGAGTTTAAATGCTGGTTGAATCACAGATATATGACAGGTGATAAATCATGTTGTTTAAATATTGTAGGCTAACATTTTAGCATATCTTTTTATGAGATTCCTGAGCTTTGACACCCTATTGAGATTTATAAGATGAAAAGTGTGAAATATGTTTTGTACTAGGTGCTAATATTACTAGCTCTATTTCAGAGAACAGGACTTTGAGTTAATAAGCTTTCTGTAAAAAAGAAAAAATTTACCACATCACAATCATTATAAAAACTAGACATAATTAGGATAAACTTAGAGAACAAATTGAATTTGGTTGGATTAAAATTATTTGCCAAAAAACACACAATGATTTTGCTTTCTTATCCAGGGAATAAATCTGTGTTCACTATGTATACTCTGCCTGATTTCAGCTGTTTTCTTTAAAAAAAATTATCTAAAAAGATCTCTATCAAAACCAGATAGAGTCTATGTACAGTTGCTGTCTACCCTGCTTAACAATGTTGCTTTTAGACACACAGAATATTGGATTAAAGAACATCTGCAGTCAATTTAGGTCCAAATTCTGAGTAAAGACTCAAGAATCTGATGAGTAAGAAAACAAATATAAAAATTGAATTCATTTTGAACTGCCAATGAATTGGATGAATGCATATATCGTTTATTCAATTAAAATTGTCTTACCTACTATGTTAATTACAATCACTTGCTCTTTTTGACAGCTTATATTGTTGCATATTTAATAGCAATTTCTTCTCTTTAACAGTACCTGCTGTACTTTACATTCCTGCCTAAGGGGTCCTATTTATCCCATCAGTTAACAGAATGGTATTTTTCATGATGCAGTTTTTAAATGCTTTTGACATGTAGCCTGAAACTGGGATATGACCTTTTAGATGACCTGTGAGCCTTAGTGATCTGCTTGTTTGATTTTTCCCTTGAAGGCTAGCAAACTTTCTGTGGATTTTCCCAAATAAGGGCTTGATCCTGCCCTCATTGAAATCAATGGTAAAGCTCCCATTGAGTTGAGTGAGAGAGGATTAGTTATTAAATCAAGTGATTTTCATGTATTTCTTTATTTAGTTTCCTACAGATATTATGACAATGTAGTATTTTCTTGTGGAAGGAAATGAATTTAGTATTGAAACCTAATGAGAAAATGGACATCGAGCTGTCTCAAAGATTAGCATTTTAAATTCAACCTATGGTTCCATTAGCGTTGGAATTTTTCTTCTTTCTTGGGAAAGATACTTAAAACACGACGTTAGAACTGAAGATAATCAAGAAAGAGTATAAGAAAGAGAGGGCAGTGTATCTTGGGGTTAGAGTAGGGTATGTGAATTTTAAAAGACCTGTAATCTCTATACCTAGCTGTGCTGCTAACTAACTGCATGAGCTTTACCAATTTACATTAACTTCTTTATGCCTCAATTTCTCTAGCTCTAAAACAGAAGTAATAGTTATTTCTTTGTCTATGTAGGATTTTACTGGTGCCCATCACTGAAGTATCTATGGGTATGTCTACACTACCCCCCTAGTTCGAACTAGGGGGGTAGTGTAGACATACCCTGAGTGAGTTTGTGAATCACTTTGAAGTGCTTGGATAGAAGGTTCTATGTGTTTTGTTATTATATCTCTATAGATACAGGCAGTCCCCGGGTTACGTACAAAATAGGGACTGTAGGTTTGTTCTTAAGTTGACTCTGTATGTAAGTCGGAACTGGCGTCAGCTGCTGCTGAAACTGATCAGTTTCAACCGCGGCTGAATCTGGATGCCAGTTCTGACTTACATACATATTCAACTTAAGAAACCCAGGCGTCCCCAAGTCAGCTGCTGCTGAAACTGATCAGCGGCTGATTCCAGGAAGCCTGGGGCAGAGCAACTCTGCC